ATGCTACCAGCTGCAGCTAAGACAGGTAACAGCAAGAAAATAGAAAATTTAGGATGGAAAAGCATTCAAAGAATGGGAAACTTTAATATGGCAATATCCTGTAACTGAAAGACGGACAAAGCAAGCACTAGCAAAATTAAAAACGTAAAAAGAAACCCAGTAGGGATGGTGATGTCCTCTGCCCAGTGATATTTCTTCCTCCAAACTAGGGAGAGTTTAATTTTAATTTCACCCAAGCCAATGTTCCCGAGTGTTTGAGTACACTATTTTTCTTGCATTCTGAACATTGCACATATCAGGCTAGCTTATGTTGCTCATTACCAGGAGTCTGGAGAATCTCCTAGTTATTCACCAAGCAACCTGAAGATGCTCCCTTTGCATTAAATAGCTGTGCAGCTCAGGAATAATGCTTTCCAGGAACATTTTCACCCACAACAGCTAAATAAGTATACGAGCACATGTTTCCATTAGGCCTCTGTTAATAACAGGGAATATTATACAGACAACTGCTGGTTTTCAGATTTCAGCAGTCAGTTGTGAAAAGCTAATCCAGTGATAGCAGTCAGAGGACTGGACCAAATCAGTCCATGTGATCCACACACCCCCGGGTCTCATTTTCCAAGTGTTCAGTTTGCACCATTTTCCAAGTCTTCCGCAATTAGGCTGTGTGTGTGTGACTCTATCAACTTCAGTTTCCCCCAATGACTCATTGTTCTTGCTTTAAGTTCAGTTTGCACCATTTTTCATATCAGTTCACAAATTCATCCCCTCAAAAAAGGAAAAAAAAATCACATTTACCAGTGTGATGTGATGCTTCGAATGCTGGATTTTGACCTGAGAGAACAAGGTTTGAATCCCCACTCAGCCATGAAGCTTCGTGAGGTTGTTGTGAGGATAAAACGGGGAGGGGGAAACCATGTACACCTACTTGAGCTCCTTGGAGGAAAAGGTAGTATCAAAATGTAATAAATAAATAGAACTTTTAATATTCAATTTACATAATGCATTTTCATGCATTATTTCCACCAGTGTGTGCATTCTTGTGCACATTTTCCCCTAATGCATGCTGTTTGGGACACAGTTTTGGTGGTGGGTTGGGTTTGGAGAAGTGCATTGCAAAATTTTAAATAATGCAAATTTAGAAGGGCAGCTATGTTTGGTTTCACATATTGGTCTGGGAACTGTTAGTTAGAGTTTCATTTTCATTTACTTAACAAAAATTATATACCACTTCATTGTAAGAAAATCTCTAAGTGGCTTACACGATTATATAATAAAACATTTTAAAAATTCCCAATAAAAACAGATATTTAAAAACATTCAAAAGGTGATTAAAATCAACATTAGCTGAAATATCCCTCAGTACAATGGTATGATCTTGTGAAGCCACTCAGTTTTCTCAGCCTCTTCCATATTCAGCTGGTTCCCCCACCTTCCAAACCCTCCTCTGCCCCCAACCTCATGGCTTTGCTTTTCATGTTGTTATTTCTGCTCTTTTTGAGATGTTCAGCCTGAGGAAAGCAAAGCTTTCCTAGGGGGAACAGAGAGAAAGATCCTGCGGCTTGGCAGTGCAAGCGACGGTCTAAGCGATGTCATGAGCTCTGGAAGCCTCTTCCGTTTAGGTTCTGCGCCATTGTTATTCAAGATTGCTAACTCCTCGGCAGGAGATTGCGGCTGCTGGTACATGGCCAAGGGGATTTCTGCCCTTCTGTCTGGCTAGGTTATGCTATTTGCAAAGCAAACGAGCGCCCCGACGAGCCATTAATACCAGTTGTGATTTGCATTTGCAACATAATCATTATAGGAATTGCCAAAATATCGCTGGGCCTGGTTGAGGGGGGAGGGGAGGGGAGCAGTGGAGGGATCTGGTATTCAAGGCAGATTGAGGATAATAGCAGCCCACAGTCTGTCTCACACCTTTGGTCTCTGGAGACAGCATCCCTTCCACTGTGAAAGATCAAACACTGCAAATAATTAATGAGCCTGTTCTTGTCAAAATAGCTCCCTTGGAAATAGTTACACCTGTCAATAACTTGAGTGCCATATTTGTAATAAAAAAGGCCAACCCACATCAGGGAATACAGGACTTCTTTAATACAAGCTAGGTTTTAAGTAATGCACCTGGGAGGTAGCTGGCGGTGGTGATGATAGTCATATACTGATGCTCTGACACATAATAGAAATTCCTCAGCACTTGTCCATCCATCAGCAGCCACCCCTGAGAACAGCAAATGACACCAGGAATCCCTGGAGCAAAGACTAAAACAAAATGAAGTGGGTAAACCTGAAATTAATAAATAAATTTCCCCCAAATAATAAACAGGGGAGATGACACCTGTTAAGGGCAGAGCTCATAGTTATTTCTGACACAGGTGCATGAAATATTCATACTCTGCTTTAACTAGGTGTTTTAACGACATGGGGAATTGAACCCTCTAATTATCTACCCTAACTTTTCTCACCTAACATTGCAATTTGCAACGTTCGTATCTGCTTAAATTCTCCTTTGCATTGTTTCCACTTCTGCTTCACTCAAGCCACATGCACCCAAATGACTCCACTGCTTGTTTGTATACACCACGAGTGCAATGATCAGCAGAAATGTTTTCTTAGCAGAATGAGTTATGTGCTTCTGGGCTGAGCCAACTCTCTGCTCTCTGAGCCAGCCCCTTTCAGAGCTTGACTGCTCTTGGGGTAACAGGCCATCTAAGACTCAAATGCCTACAAGATGAGAATGCAGAACTCCATCTTCCATCCTGTGCCCTCTGGAGTGAACCTACCTAATATGCACTTCATAAAGTGATACATGAAGTGAAGTTCAGCCATCCTTCAAAATTTGCACTTCTCGGGATTTTGGAATGCAGTTCTCCAACCAAAACATGTATACAAAAATATGTATATTAGGAGAAAGTGTGCATAAAGTTACACATATATGTTAATATAGCATACAAAATTGCATTATATTAGGAACAATAGCTCTGTGAAGAGTGTTGCTAGATTTGGGTACAGAATGTGTGTACCCAGGACAATGTGCAATAATTAGAAACAGAAAGAAACCAAAATGGGCAGCTTTATCCATCCATCCCTAGCTTGAGATATTGCTAAGCACAGGAGTTAGTACTGATTCCTCCAGAACAGAAACAGATGGGCAGAAAGAATGTAGCAGCTGTGCATGCTGCCAACTGGAGCCACCCTCATGACATGCACCAATGCTGGAGGAATGCAACAGCTATGGTCTCCTGTTACAAATATAAACTCTATAAAATGTGAGAGAGTAAGTCCCCACTTCACATATGACTGCTCCTATATCACTCCCAGGGACATGTAAGAGGTTCCACCCAGGATTGGTCTTCTTGTCATGTATGTATAGCAAATAAGTGCTGTTGACCCTGTTAAGGAGTTCTGTGGCTTGTGTGTCATGCAAACAATCAAGGAATACCAGGCATGCAGAAGGACATCTCTGGTCCATTTTCAAGAATAATAGAGAGGTGGGTGGAAACAGATATGTGGAAGGGCTGAGAGAAGGTAGAGCCCAACAGATATGCCCAAGGCTGAGAGAAAGTAGGGATTTTGCAGTGTCAAAGCTATAGTTCTGCAGGATTGCTCTAAAGTGGGTCCAGAAATGTTAAGGCAGAGACGGGATTTCAGAGATGGAAGAATGCTCAAAGAAAAGGAAGCACCAGTCAGGAAGAAAGAAGAGCCCCCAAACAGGTAAGTTAGGCAAAAGTCCTGAGTCACCTCCAAGCTCCTTGCTTCTGGGGCTTCTGGAAAGCATAAGCCACCCCAATTTGCAATTTGCACTTGCTGCAAAAGATAATTCTAGCTGATATCGATGAAAGACACAACCCCTTTGAGGAAACTTTGTGGGCTGCTTCCTCGTGCACTAAAAGCAATGGTGAAGGCCACACCTGTGCAAGCAGAGACTCCAAAAGTACACTGGCAAATGCATGGGGCTGTGGATTGGAGTGGCAATCATCTTCAAAGGTCCACACATACATCCATGCATTACATGTCATTAACAATGATGCCAGTTGCAGACGGTTTGGATGTCAGCTGGCTATCACAGGATTTGCTGTTTCTATATTCCCAAGCTATCCCTACTCCAAACAGCCAGTCAATTTTAGAGTGAAAAACCTATAGTTTCTCTCTCCACAGGGATGTGCAAAAGTGCCGGTAGATGAGAATAATCTGATATATTTGCACATACTGTGGCCGCAGGAGGTTCAGAACAGGAAACCACATTCATATGTCACAAAATAGTATTGTAATTGATTCTCTATCCTTTAAACATGAGACAATGGCAGCATTTAATAGTCCACACACTTCCTTGGAGACAGGGACTACATGTGTGATATTATCAGAGACATCATTCTGTAGAATTGATCCTGGGTGGTCTTTCCCCCTTCTAAAAGTAGGTGCTTTGTTTAATGTCAATGCTTCAACTGAAGGACATTTATTTCCCAGTAGCACTGGAAAATTGGGGCAAATAGCTATCATTTCACCAGTGAGTGTGAGAACTAAATATGAATATCATTCGGCCTATTAAACAAAGGAGGCATTCCCCCACCCCACCCTGTTACCTGCCTTAGCTATTTTGTCCAACATTATTTTGCAGAATAAATTACACGTTCACATAATTTAAAGCAAGAGAACTTGAACAGATTTCCCAACTTTTATATGTTTCTTTGTGACCCTGAAGCATAGGAGCATCAAGGTCCCAGTACCCTTTCTGAAAATCAAGATCCAGATTTTCAAATTGGTCTTTTCAACGTGAACTTTATCCAATTTTCAGTCTTTGTTTCTAAATTATTTGACAGTGCTCAAATCAGGACATGTGTTAGGACAGGCATCCCAGCAATCAATCAATCAATCAATCAATCAATCAAATATAAAAGCCATGTGGTTGTTAATGTGAAATATTTGCAAACCTCAATATTAGCATTTCATTTTTAAAAAATATCAAGTTCATGAGAAATTACTGGGATTCAGAAATATTCTACTCACCTTATAGTCTGATGTTGCAAGGTGTCTGGATCTGTGGCATTGACCGTTAACACAACACTGCCAATGGGGATGTTTTCTTGTTTGGTGATAGTCATTGGGTCTGGGTGGAAAACAGGGGCTTCATTGACATCCAGAACCGTGATCTGAACAGTTGCTGTGGAACTGGTGTCATATGCTATGTCTGGAACTAATGGATCTTCATTTTCTACTTTGATCAGGAGTGTGTGGAAAGCTGAAATCTCACAGTCCAAAGGCTGAAAAGCAAGAACATAAGAACATAAAAAGAGCCCTGATGGATCAGGCCAAATGCCATCCTAGTCCAACACCCTGTTTTCACAGTGGCCAGCCAAATAGAATGTATCAACCAGGTTTAATAGTCACTGATAGCTTTATTGTCCATAAATTTGCCTAATCTTATCCATATTGGTGGCCTTTGCTACCTCTTGTGGGAGCGAATTCCATACCTTTACTACACACTGTTGTATATTGGGTTAAACCATTGCTAGTCTCTCATCAGCGGTAAACAGGAAATGTTGCCTCTTTTTCAAACAGATTTCTCCCTCTCTGTGCAACCATGAGTTCTAGAAACTTGCAGGCACTTCTTTCAATGTTTCCTGTTCTGGATTGATCCTATGTATGAATGCAGAAAGAGCCCTGATGGATGTGGCCTATCTAGTTTGGCATTCTAGTCTCACAGTGGCCAGCTAGATGCTTATGGGAAGCACACAAGCAGTACCTGAGCACAACAGCTCTCTGCCCTCCTGCAGTCCACAACAAGTGGTATTCAGAAGTACACTGCATCCAACAGTCAGGGTACAATATAGCCACCAGCGCTGGTAGCCATGATGCACATACCACAGCCTGTGTTGACTTATGTTGATGCTCACAACACAAGGTCCTTCAGACCAATAAGTTACTTGCGGTTCCTGAATCCTCCTCTGGTAAGTCAAAGAAGGCCCAGAAGAAATCCAGGTTTGCTTCTCATAGGTAAAGGTAAAGGGACCCTGACCATTAGGTCCAGTCATGACTGACTCTGGGGTTGCGGCGCTCATCTTGCTTTATTGGCCGAGGGAGCCAGCGTACAGCTTCCGGGTCATGTGGCCAGTATGACTAAGCCACTTCTGGCGAACCAGAGCAGTGCATGGAAACGCCGCTTACCTTCCCACTGGAGTGGTACCTATTTATCTATTTGCACTTTGACGTGTTTTTGAACTGCTAGGTTGGCAGGAGCAGGGACCGAGCAACATAAACTCACCCCATCGCAGGGATTCGAACCGCCGACCTGATCGGCAAGTCCTAGGCTCTGTGGTTTAACCCACAGCGCCACCCACATCCCTTTTGCTTCTCATAGTTAAAGATAAATTTAAAGGAAAGGTAGGCAGCTTGCAGACTACGAGCCAATTGTGGCCCGTAGCCAATCACTAGTTCTGTCTTCCTTCTATGTGATTCTGTACTTTTGTTTTTTTTAAAAAAAATCCAGCCAAATTGCTCAAATCCCTCTTCAAGAGGGAGACACAACTGTCTGAAACACACAGTCTAAACTTCCCACACAGTCTAAACTTCCCACATTTCTCACAGCAATCAATCACTCCCCTCAGAAAATTCCTGCTGGGTACTTCATGGCTGTGGGATGTAAAAACGCAGGAGCAGTCAATGACAACATTCCTAGAGTGTACATGTTAGAACATGGGGAGGGATGTCTGTCTAACAAGCAGGTAAACTTCCTGGGGACAGACTTCCTCCGCATGTGACCAGAGGTGGGTGTGGCCTCACCTGTGCAGGTAAATGATAAAAGCACAGGGCAGGCAGCCATATCTCTCTCTCTCATCTTCATCTTCTGAAGGAGCAACATGCCCTCTTGGCTCTCAGCCAAGAGAGGACAGTACAGTGGTGCCTCGCAAGACGAAATTAATCCGTTCCTTGAGAGTCTTCGTCTAGCGTTTTTTTCATCTTGCGAAGCAACCCTATTAGCGGCTTAACGGATTAGCGCTATTAGCGGTTTAGCGGCTATTAAAGGCTTAAAGGCTTAGCGGATTAGCTGCTAAAAGGCTATTAAAGGCTATTAAAGGCTTAGCAGATTAGATAAAGGGGGCGAAAAGCGAAAAAAAAATCTCAAGACTTGCAAGACATTTTCGTCTTGCGAAGCAAGCCCATAGGGAAATTCGTCCTGCGAAGCAACTCAAAAACGGAAAACCCTTTCGTCTAGCGGGTTTTCCGTCTTGCGAGGCATTCGTCTTGCGGGGCACCACTGTACTATCTTCCTATAAGATAGATTCTGAGTGTATTTTACCTTTTTTAAGCTGTCTGCCTTCTGGGATCACATTGTGAACAGAACGTGAGTAAACTCTTTTATACTTTTATAAAGACTGTGTCGTGTCTTGTATTTTAAGAGGGAACAAAGGGGAAATTACCAGAGTAATTATTATAGAGGTTCTAGCGAACCTGTGCACACGTTACCGTTGCAAACTTAAAGGGGAATGTCTATAAACTCTGCTGATATTTTGGGAACTTGTTAGCACAAGTTGGATTAGGATATAATCTCACAATATATCCTCTCCTGCACCCCTGAACATTCCCACAATGGCTAGCTTAGCAAGCAACATCGTATCATTAGAAATGAACAATGGCAGAGGTGGTGAACCTTTTTCAGCCCCAGTCTGAACAGCAGACTAGTTTCTACACTCACCCTCTATCCTCCAAACAAGGGTCAGGGACAAATTCCAGCCAAACAAAAACACTCAGGGTGTGAAACATGACCACTGAGGGATGTGGCCTGCGGAGATTTCTGAGGGCCTGATAGGGAGCTCTGGAGGGCCACAGCTGATTCATACGCCTAAGATTCCCCACCTCTGACAACAGAAACCTCTGAAAATTTAAAGCATTTCCGAAAAGGGGCAACATAAGACATTATGGCCATTCTTTAGATGTCTAAGAGGCACAGCTAATCCTTCTGCTCACCTTGACAACTGACAGCATCCCTTCATTGTTCTTGGGGTTCGTATGGATTTCAAAGCTCTGGCCTGGGTTGCCATTGATGATGGTATAAACCGCTCTCCATGCTCCTGTTGCCGGGTCATCCCGATCCTCCACAGTCAGATTGACAATCACTCCCGTGCTGCCTTCCTTCACCGTAGCTTGGAACTCAAAATTAATAAAGAAAGCCATAAATGTTACTACCATCAAACAAATGACCACAGTCGGCACAACAAATTTGTTTAAGGTGTTATTAATTATTCACCACAACCAAAGGGAAAATGTAATCCTTGAGTGAAACTGAAATTTTACAGGCCATAAATAATGCAGTCAGAGAGCGTACAGTATAAGAAACGGTATTACAATTTCTCTGCTCTGATTCTTGAAAGATTAAAGATAAAGAACCACATGATTGTTGAGACAGGCTTTGAAAACTCTCCAGAATAATAAAAAAGATGAAATCTTTTGTTAACTCCTCTTAATATAAAGAGATTCAATATACAATACATAAAGGTGCTTTGGAATACAATGCTTAGAGGAGGAAATGCATTAAGAATGCTTTTAAGAGCAGAGTGCTTTAAAGGTGATTTTTACTCATCTTGATTATCTTCCCTCTCTACTTGAACCATAATATTTCATTGTCCTTTCCAGTCTGTATGGACGATGGTGTTCTTTGTAATAAAATAACTGGAGGATCTCCCAAAACTTATTCCCCAAGCTATCCAGTTCCCCTTTAAGTGTTCTTTCCATTTTAAATTTTCCACAGAGCTGGAGGAAACCTTGATGGTGACAGCATTGTAACCATTTACAGCCTAGATGGAAAGACTTTTACATGGTCCAAGTCAACTTTGAAGTAGCCCAGCATGGAGTCAACTTGACCTGGTTTTGTTCAATGCCTGTTGCTTATGGACAAAGAGCAAAGGTGCAAAGAGAATCCAAAGTGGTCATGAGCAGGTGGCAACATCCTAATTTTAATGAAGCTTCCTCGACTACTACCCAGGTTGGCTAGGTTCCACCTGCACTGTTGGAGCCAGTGTGCCTCTAAGTACCATTTGCTGGGAATCACAAGAGAAGAGAGTGCTGTTGCACTCGGGACCTGCTTGTTGGCTTTCCATAGCCGTCTGTCTGGCCACTGAGAAAGCAGGAAAGCAGGATAGTGAACTAGATGGGCCTATGGTCTGAACCAGCAGGATTCTTCTTATGTTCTTCTACCTGTTGCTAGGAACCACAAGTTGGAAGAGTGTTGTTCCACTCAGATCCTGCTTATGGGCTTCCCATAGGTTGGCTGCTGTGAGAACAGGATACTGAGCTAGAAGGGTGTTTGGTCTGATCCAGCTGGGCACTTCTTATGTTCTAATTAGCCAGTGCCAACTACCCAAACATTTTGCTGCATTCCTTTTTTGGGTAGGTAACAACACTGCTCAAAGAAGCCATGCTATTTTCTCTCTTATCCATCTCTTTGCGCTCATGCATGTGTCTCTGGAGCTCAAACCCATAGAGAGCAGCCCCTTCAAATTATTGGCAAAGGGATCTCAGCCCCTAGGAGATGGCTCCTATGGGTGGCAGTATTGCTTCTGAATACTAGTTCTTGGAGAGTGTGCTCTTGTTCTCAGGTCCCTACTTGCAGGTTTTCCACAGGCATCTGGTTGGCCACTGTGAGAACAGGAGGCCGAACAAGGTGGGCCATTGATCCAATTGATCAGGCACATCTTATATTCTTTTAGTGCAGTGCAAAAAAAAATTATGTTGCATTTTCCCATCAATTAATGGGAAAAGAAACAGCACCTAAATTTATCAAAGTGTGTAGAGGGAACTCACTGAAATTCCCATGAATAGGGTGCAGGGTTTTTTTTTATGTGCTTAGCTTTTAAGAAGGCCAAGTGGTGTTTGCGAGTGTCCTTTCTTTCTTCAAATCATTTCACCAGTGGTTTGTACTTTGCAGCTTCCACAGATTTCTGCACTTTAGTTTAAGCCCAGGGTAAGGTGTCAGGAGGTAGCTCCTCCCATCAGGTGTTTTTTTTAAGATCAGGAATAGCAGATAAACAGGAGAAATTTCAGGGTGTTGGGGAAATGTTTACTGGGCAGGAAAACACATACACTACCCTTGGACACCTCACAAAAATAACGGAAGCTCAAAACGCTGCATCCCCATAATAAAGGAATTCTCAAATACCCTGAGAATGAGCCCCCCCAAATGCAAGCTGATTTTATAGGGGGGGGGGACCAAAGTTTTGAAAAACTAGAGGACAGATTTCAGCACACAGAGTAAGAGAAATACCCACATGGGAGCATTAGATCATACTTCACTAACACTGAAAATAACATGAACATAGCAACCCCCATTAAAGTTGGAAAAAATAGTTAGACTGGGAGAAGTTGTGCTGGTAGCCAAACCTCCAGTGACTGTTAGATATGATTAGATTATGCATTAATTGATTTTCTTCGTCTTTAATATCTACACATCCCTGAAGCACCACAGTCAATTGAGAACAAAATAGATGAGTCCAGATGTGTATTTAAGCTGTTGCCATCAGCATCCATCTAAAAAGCATCACTTAGTAATGGCATACCTTGGGCCAAATCCCCAATTGGTTTAAACTGGGTCAGCAGATTTATACTTGTTCACATGCCAGCTGAGACATTCTCCCTGGCAAGTTTCACCTCCTAAAAAGATTTATTCATCTCATTGCAAGCAACTGGCCGCAAGCAGAAACTTCAAATCCTCAAGTGCAACTTAGCATTGATTTACATGTCCAGATCTACACCTTGAGAACATGGATGAAAAAGACCTCTACTGAGATAGACATGTGCTGAAATTGCCACATGGCTTATCTGTTTACCGCCATTTGCATCCCACTTTTCTCCATGTAATGGGAGCCAAGGAATATTGTGTCACACAAATGACACACCTCAGCCTGCAGAGCCCTGTTGGATCAGGCCAAAGCCTATGTAAGTTTAGCATCCTGCTCTCACAGTGGCTAACCAGGTGTCTGAAAGGGAAGCCCACAAGCCCGACCTGAACTCAGCAGCATTCTCCCCACTTGTGATCCCCAGCAACTGGTATATGGAGGCTTACTGCCTTTGACACTGCAGGTAGAACATAGCCGGCATGGCTAGTAGTCTTGTCCTCCACTAATTTGTCTAACTCCCCCTTTTGAAGCCATTCAACTTGGAGGCCATCACTACAGTATGTGGTAGCAAACTCTATAGTATGACCCCACTCACTCTCAATTGATAGTTTCTCTGTGTGTTTATAAAGGGAGATCTGATCACAGATCTCCTACCATCACAGCTTATTTGCTCTTAAATTTAATATGCCACTGCTCATTTCAGTCACTACAGAATTCAGCAGGAAATATGCAGGTGAGGTTGTTCCACACAGCTCCAGGTGGGACCTCTCAGTCAGCTGAAAAGCCAAACTGTTTGAAAATGACCTACTCAATCACCCATGCACATAAAGCCTTCTTGTAATGGTATAGTCGCTTTGTATCCCATACAAATATTGGGCAAAGTGCTCAGTAGGAGAATCAGTAACTAGACTCTGTGGCTTTGCCAAAGGTACAGATTTCTGTCACAGACTGTGGTGCCAACGCGGTTTGAATTAAAGAGCCTTGGAGAGCAGCAAATGTAACGAAAGAGAAAACATGGTCTGGATTGATGAGCATCAAACCCAATGAGTCATTAGGATTCCACCCGCTGGGAGCACCAGTTGAGAATAACCAAATTAAAAGTGCAAGTCGCTTTGCATTAATCTGGGAATCGTTCCTTGGCTGAAGGTGCTTGGTGCATCCTATCTCTGTGTTTGTTTTCCCTCGTAGAGCTCACAAATGATGAAAAATGACAGGAGATACATCAGCTCCAGAAGAGAATGGCTAGAGAGCCAAGAAATGTCATTCCCTCCTCTGAGATTTGCCTCCAAGAAAAGAAACATTTGTTTGAAACTGGATCAGCGGATGTACTCTGGGAACACAGGAAGTTGCCTTTTACAGAGTCAGGCCATTGGTCCATCTAGCTGAGTATTGCCTACACTGACTGGCAGCAGCTCTACAGGGTTTCAGGCAGGAGTCTCTCCCAGCCGTCGCTGGAAGTACTGGGGACTGAAACTGGGACTTTCTTGCATACAAAGCAGGTGCTCTACCACTGAGCTACTGTATAATGCAGTGTCAAGCAGCTTCAAGCATGTTTTACTGTTACTATGTGCTACAGCTTATTGCTTGTTTTGCTCAGTTTAATGTGCTCCCAACCTGTCAACAATATATATATTATTAAAGCAAAGTGGACACAGCTTGGACTGTTTGTGCCACAGCCTGTTTGTTGTTCAGGCATTACAGAAGAAATGTACAGATCCCCCCCCTTCATTGCCACCCAAATATTATGGGTTCACTTAAGCCACATTCACACCATTGTGATAGCACTTTAAACAGTTATGCCTTCCCTCGGATAATTCTGGAAGCTGTAGTTTGTTAAGGATACTGAGAGTTGTTAGATTACTCCTGTTTCCCTCACAGAACTACAATTCCCAGAGTTCTCTGTGAAGAAGGCTTGACCGTTAAACCACTCTGAGAACAGTAGCTCTATGAGGGGAATAGGGGCATTTAAGAGACTCTCAGCATCCTTAACAAACTACAGCTCACAGGATTCCTTAGAACAAGCCTTGACAGTGGTTTCATTGTGCTTTAAATGGACGGTGTGAATGTGACCTTCGTCTCTTAAATGGCGTAAATGTTTCAGAGAAACCACACAGGCCAAGGGCAGCTGATGCATCAAGAACTGTGAGTAAAGAGCTTTCTGATGGATGCTGCCATTTTGTTCCTTCACAATGACTTGGAGCAACATTACAGGGATTGGGGAGACGTTAAAATGGCTGCTGGTCCCAACCAGTGCCAGAGACAGGGGGACCAGTCATCAACCAATGACAGCTCCAGCCTCTATGCATGCAGCAAAATGAGATGGCAGGTGGGGCTAGCCTATAGCATTTTGCTGCCTGAGGCAAAGTAGAGCTCTCCTATTCCTCCTATAGAAATGAACTGGAATGCCAGTTGTATTGTACTGAAACACTGGCAATGGAACAGGACATAATGGGAGCTGTAGTTCCAAAAATACATCCTGAGGGCACCAGGTTAGCAAAGGCTGCTGTAGAGATAGATCCTCAAGTCTCTTTTCCCTTTCCATTCTGCCCCGTGAAGATTCCT